AATTAAAGGCCTCCAAATCTCTAAACCCCAAACCGCCATTTTTTTTTTGACTCCACTAACTTGTCCCAAGCAATCCAATGGATCTTATGCAAATCATCTAACCCAGACCACCAATAATCAACCATATGAATTACACGTACCTTTAGGGAGCTTAAAACAGGACATGGCAAACGCAGGAATAGCTGTGAGGACTAATTTCAGCAACACCTCTCTACCTCATGGTGAAATAAAATTTCCTTTCCATCCCGAAATTCTTGAAATTATTTTTTGCTCCACAAATTTGAACACTTTTTTTTAAGATCGGCAGATAACAGCTGGGAGGCCCAAATACCTTTCTTGAGCACCTTCTCTTTGAATTTGAAGCAAATCTCTGATAGCCGCTTGCTTATCACTTGGAGTATTTTTGCTGAAAAAAGTAGAAGATTTATCAAAATTGATAAACTGTCCAGAAGCTTGAGCATAAATATTGAGTATATGCTGAATTCTTTGCATTTCCTTCTCTTCTGCTTTGCTAAACAAAACACAGTCATCTGCAAAAAAATAAATAAGAGACAACCGTAGCTCTGCGTCCAATTTTTAGGCCAGAAATCAAACCAGCATGGAGATCATTGATAAGAAGAGAAGACAAACCCTCAGCACAGAGTAATAACAAGTAAGAGATAGAGGATCCCCTTGCCGAAGGCCCCTACCCGGTTTGAACAAAATGTCTCATTGACTATGCCAAATGATTTATAGCTCATTTACATTAACATGCCCAATAAAAGTATAATTAAAGGTTAATTTTAGTTTATATCATCTATTCTCTCTCTCTCTCTCTCTCTCTCTCTCTATATATATATATATATATTATTCTAATGAAAAATGTGTATAATTATAAGCTGGGAGTTGAATAGTCAACAGTTACAACTTTTTAAATTGCCCAGGATTTACATATACTTTGCTACATTATATATTTTAGGCATTCCCTCTCTTTCAGTAGTATTTGTTAGATTTATTTATTTATTTTTTTCTATCTATTAAAAATCACTATTTCATTTTGATGTATATGCATGGATATTGATCATTCTGTTATGTGTTCTTGTTTTGGTCAGAATATTGAATTAAGTTTAATTACGCTCCAGATAATTGTTTGGAGGATAAGAGGGAAAAGTAGAGTAGAGGGAAAATATTGAAGCAATGTTTCAAAAGGTTTGTTTTGTTAAACTTTGATTGTTTTTATTTTTTTTTATTTTTTTTTATTTTTTTTTGGTACGATCGTGTCATGCATAAGGAAAGAAGGCCTGAGAAGTGAATTTTTTTTTTTTTTTTTATTTTTTTTATTTTTATTTTTTTATACTTTTTTCAGAAGCTATTCTTTCTTATCACTTTAATCAAATATACTCTGCTGCATTATATATTTTGGGCATTCCCTCTCTTTCATTAATATTTGTTAGATTTTTTTTTTTCATAGATTAAAAATCACTATTCCATTTTGATGAATTGTCATTAATATTGATCATTTTGTTACGTGTTATTGTTTTGGTCAGAAAATTGAATTAAATTTAATTACACTGCGGATAATTGTTTGGAGGAAAAGAGGGGAAAGTAGAGTAGATGGAAAATATTGAAACAAGGCTTCAAAAGGTTTGTTTTGTTAAACTCTGGTTTAAAAAAATATATATTAATTTTCTTTTTGTATGATCACTTTAATCAAATATACTCTGCTACATTTAATTTTCTTTTTGTATGATCACTTTAATCAAATATACTCTGCCACATTACATATTGTGAGCATTCCCTCTTTTTCATTAATATTTATTAGATTATTATTATTAATATTATTTTTTTGGTGTAGATATGTTTTATTTTTATTTTTTTCATGGATTAAGAATCACTATTTCATTTTGATGAATTGTCATGGAGATTGATCATTTTGTTACGTGTTATTGGTTTGGTCATAATATTTAATTAAGCTTAATTACACTGCAAATGATTGCTTGGAGGATGAGAGGGAAAAGTATAGGAAAATATTGCAGCAAGGCTTCAGTAGGTTTGTTTTGTTAAACTTTTTTTTTTGAACATATATATTTTATTTTATTTTTTAAATTTCCTTTTGTATGAACATGTCATGCATTAGGAAAAAAAGCCTGAGAAGTGGAAATTTTTTTTGAAGGCGTGTTTTTATTTTTTGAACGGTAAGATAAATTACTTGGTAAAGAGTTCCAAAGACGTCAAAAAAGGCAATTGGGTGGTGCCCAGTTCTTGCTCAAATTAAATTAGTATAGTTAACGTATTTAATTTTTTGAAAGGTAAGAGAAGTGGAAATTGCATGGTAAAGAAATTCCAAAAACATAAAAAAAAAAAAAAAAAACAAAAAACAATTGGGTGGTTAATATAAAATTTCATGTAGAACCATTATTTTATTTTTTTCCTTTTTCATTTTGAATGTTGCAACTATACCACTGGTTTCTTGTATTAATTTAATAAAAAAATTCTCTTAACTTGTATTATTATTATTTTTATTTAGAGGCTAAGTACTAATGAACAAATATGTTAATACCTTTTAAATGTTTAAGTTGGAAGTTGAATAGTTAAATATTACAACCCTTGCAATTTCCCAAGAGTTACATGTATATATTTATCTTAGCACTTTAATCAAATATATTCCCTTATCTTATATATTTTGGACATTCCCACACTTTCATTATTTTGTGCTAGATTTCATTTCGATGGATTGTCATGGAGATTGATAGATAATATTTGAAGTTGTGGCTAGAAATATGAAATTTTGAAAGAGTATTTAATAAAAAATTTAAAGAGGGAACATTGTTGTAACCATTTTTATTTATAGTTATTAAAAAATAAATGAGATAATTATTTGCTTATTTATGTGGGATACAAAAAATCCTTTTTCTTTTTCTTTTCTTTATTTTTTTTTTTTGTTGTTGTCATTTCTATACATTTTTACTCAAATTTTCTTTATTAATTATCAGTTACTGTATTTACTATAAATCTATATCTTTACTTACTATAAATCTATATTTACTATAAAAGTGTAATAATTATTGAATGTTTTTATATTTTTGTAATAATTTTTATCAAATACTTCCATACTATTATGAGTGTAAACTATTTTTAATTATTTCTATATATATTTTTAAAAAATTAACAAATAATATTTTAAATTTTAAATACAAATGAATTGTCAAATTCACCATTTTAAAAGTTATAAATAGTAGTTTGAGTTCTAAATACAAATAAGTTGCATATTTCAAGATTCCAATAATTGTAAAATAATATTTTGAAATTTTAAATACAAAGAAGTTGTTAGTCAAGGTTTATAAATAATATTTTAAGTTTAAAATACAAAGAAATTGTATAGTCAAGTGTTATAAATATACTTTAAATTTGAAATACAAATAAGACCATTTCAAGAATTATAAATAATATTTTAAGTTTAAATAACAATAAGTTGCATAAAGTAATATTTTTAAATTTTAAATACAAAAAAATTGTATATTCTATGCTTCTAACAATTACATCCATAAAAAAAAAAAAAACAATTACATTCAAGTTTTAAATATAAAAAAATACAAAAATTTTAAATACAAAGAAATTATATATTTATAATATAAAATTGTATTTCATAACGTGTACCTTGTGCTATTATAGAATAAAAAATGTCAAGTCAATGAGAACATAAAGATGTTTAAAAGAGCAAAAAAAAAATTAAAAAATTAAATAATAATAAGCCCTAATTTGACCGTTGTGATCTCTGCATTCAAATGGGCTCCACATTAGTCCCACGAGACTGAAGAGGAGATGACATTTCAATGTTGCGTTTCAATGTGGAACGTGGTTATAAATTTTTGTTTACTGCCTGGAAAGGGAAAGGAAAAGGAAAAAAGGGTGGGGCTTGGTCTTCATTCAAACATTTGAATTGAGTATTCCTCTTTTATTTATTTATTTTTGTCCTATCATCACTTGTAACATTCAATATATTAAAGGATTTGACTTTGATATTTTGCCCAAAATGACGTAGGACGGAATCAGAATGAGGAATATACTGGGACAATTGGAATATTTTCAATTTTGTGCTCCAAATATTTTTAAAAAGTTGATAAGTAAAATATTTTTGTGGAAGTGAAAAATCGGCATCTTAAAATTAGGATCGAAATAAATTTTGTTGTAATTTTGAACTAATTTTTTTTAACTAAAATTCAGAAGCTCCTAAACATGACTTTAGTTGAATTGTTGTTAAGTTATGATGAAAAAAAATTGATAAAATTGAAACATATTCATCTACTTTATTGATAACTCGGGATAATTGACAAACACATGTTTGATATTAAATTGAATTAAAATGTAAAAAGCCTAAAATTAATTATTTAAAATGTTTAATTTGAAAGAAAAGTAAATACGCTGTTGATATAACATGCAAAGATAAGACTCCGTAGTGGTTCCGTTTGCAGAGTGTTGAGTTATGTTTCCTCCACAAATCTGGAGTCTATTCTTTATTTATTTACTTTGCTTCAAGATTTATATGCCTTTTCTGACTTGGCTTTATGTCTTTATACTACCATCTTGGCCTAAGCCTTTGTACGGAAAAAAAAAAAAAAAAAATTAATGAGACTTATAAAGATAAAAATCATGATAGATTTTGAATTGAATTATATGTTTTCACTTATGGGTTAAAATTTTACCAATTTATTGACTCATAATGGTGTAACCTTTTTGATAAAAGAAAATCGTTGGAATTAAATTGATCCTTCAATCACATTCATTCAATTTTAATACAATAATTTAATTACTAGTAAAATGTCCACTTAAAATCATGATGTTATCCAACTATATTTCCTATTTTTTCTTTATTTTTAATGATTAAGCCATGTAACCAGACACAATTAGTGGGGACCACTTTAGGTACACGTGTAAGAAGCAACAAGCAAGTACAGTGTTTTATTTCACGCCGAATACGACTTTCCACATTGCCACGCACGATGCTACATTCGCCGTGCAACTCGGGCACTCATTCTCTATCTGAAACACTCTCTCTAAAACACTCTCTCTCTCTCTCTCTAACTTTCCCACTTTCGAACGGAATAAAATATTTTTCAATCTGTAAAGGAGACAGAGACCCACAGTGAGACACACTGTTTCAGCACTTTCTGTGTTTATCTGCTCTCTCTCTCCCTCTGTGCTCCTTTCATGGTGCGTTTGAGAGACTTTTTGTCTTTGAGGTTTGAACTTCGTCTTCTCTGTTTCTTTGCGCACACTCAAAGCGACGCCGTTTGACCGTTACACAAGTCTGCTTTATTGCCTTCGTTCTCTGAACTTTCTTATTCGTTGCTTTATACGAATACTTTCTCGCGATTTAAAAGCCTTTTCTGTTTGGTTCTCTTGAAAGTTGTGGGGAATGAAGACAATCAATTGTGTAAGTTTCTATCTATATACACATACATACATATACATATATATATCTAATATATGTTTGGGTATATAGTTGTTTTTAATTTTTTTTTTTCCAGTAAATTGTATGTAATTGTTTTGGATGGGTTTGCCTTTGCTTTTTTACATGCTTTGTATCGTTATTTTTGTTGGTGGAATTATTTGATTTGTAAAAGTGGATAGAGATTGTTATTGGACTTTGATGCATATGGTTCTGTTAGCCAAAATTGTTTCAATTGTTATACATTAGTCTGTGTGCGTATACATTTCATATCTAGATAGATATAGATACCAGTTTAAATCACTTTAGGCACTGTTTGGATGATGAGAAAGCAGAGGAAAAAAGAAAAGGAAAGAAATTTAGACCCAGTTATTTGAAAAACAACTATAAAACAGTTTAGGATTTTTAAATTTTAGTAATTTTTTAAAAACTGTAAACGAACATTTTACAAAGCAAACATTTTTTCAGTTGAGTGTTCGGAAAAGTATCAGCCAAACAGGCTTTTGTACTTTTAGTCCTGGGTCATTTCTAACTATTTTTCAAAGAACGTCTCACGAATTTTTCAATTTTTTTGATAACAGAATAGAGCAGGTTATGGCCTTCCCGTGTTTAGATTACCTAAAAAAGTGAAAGAAACTAAATTAAGTTGACATGTGAATACAATTAACTTTTCTGTTTCTGTAAAAATAAGTTATCAAATTTGTAAGTTTTCAAGTAAAAAATTGTATAGGTTGAATGGAGTTCCACTTTTGCTGAACTTGAACCTTCAACGTCCTCCTAAGGAATTTGCTAATATTTTTTATGCCACAGAGGTTGTGCTTTTTCCAATTGATGGCCAATTTTGTTTTCATTTCCTCAATCCTATATTATGGCTAAAAAGGGGGAAGAAAAAATAGTAGAAATTTGTGTTTTATGTTCTCTTGAGCTCTTTGTTCTATCATGTTGCAATTGACCATAAGTATTACTTTTTAATGTTGTTTCTTTAATTTCATTCAACCATCAAGTTCATGGTGGATCAGTTCCAGTCTTGACAAAAAATAAACAATTTACAAGATATGATATCTGGATCTAAAGTATCAATTCCAACATATATCGAACTTAAAATAAATAAAAAAAAGAGAATTTTCATTTGAGATATTTTGATATATGAGATGAATAGATTATTTTGGTTTGTTACTTGTTTTGTACTCTGTTTGGTTGATGAGAACGTGAATGGAAAGAAAAACGATCTCACAACTGTTACAAGAATCCTAACTCTTATCCTTTCCTACATCTTATTGTTGACCAGAGGGAGACTCTTCTCACCATTTTGCGTTGGCATCAAGAGGCCTAATTGGGCTTAGAAAATAAAAGAGAAAATATCATTGGACAAAAAGCAATTTGTTCATTGCTGCACAATAAAAATTTCTGCTTCCTCCTCTATTTAACTCTCCCTTCTTCTCAAGAAAAAAGGATCTTTCGTGAGGTAGAAATAGAAGAATTAGTATTCTGGCAATCTTCTTTGCATCATATTGTCATGTCCTTCTTAGTAGGTTACATGCTTCCAGAATAAAAATCATGTATAACAGTAATATCCTTTTAGAAAAACATTTTGTCTTGTGAGACTGAAAAGGTGTTGTTAAGTCAAGAGCCAAAATAAGGTGGTTGATGGAATTCTGTCTCCAGGTTCAGCCTTAAAACTATAGCATCTAGTAGAATATCATAGCAACATATTGTACAAAATTCCTTTAACCATACACATGTCCCTTGATTTAACACTTTTTTGACCATGTTGCTTCATCAGTTCGCATTTGCTCTTTCTTGTTCATGTATTGTTCCGATGTGTCATTGGCTTGACGTACTACTCTATGGAATTGATTGTCATAGGGTGAGAGCATATTTTGTGTGTGTGTTTTTTTTCAGGATGCATTAACGATGTTTAACATCTCAAGAACTCATCTTGTAAACCGTTACGCATTATTAGTTTCATGTTTGATGTAAGAAATTTCAAATTTAAGTAAGGATATAAACATGAAACATGGGTATGACACGATTCGAGAACATCGATTTGGCAAATCTAAAAAAATAGGGCACTGTAGGATCTGAAAATAAAATAATGATAATATAATATATTATTATATATACGAAAAATCAAATTTTTTTTTTTTTTTTTTCCATAATAGAATGAAAGTACTCAGTAATTTAGGGCTTAAAGTAAAATTGAGTGTTGTTTTGAAACTTTATATGATTTTTCTAATAATCAGCAATATGTTTTAAATTCCATTGGAACTTTGTTTTTGTAATAAATTAATTGCAAATTACCCCACCATGTCCCATAAATGTCCGGGTTGGGTACGAATCCAACATCACCACGACATCCCTAAGAGTATTGTCTTTGCTTTCTAACTTTTAAATAATGTTTTTCCTTATATGAAATTCCAACTAATCTTTTTATATGTTCAGTGACTTGATCAGTATTCCCTTTTGATAGGCTCGGGCCATTTATTTATTTGTCATATTGAGTTATTTATTTTTTATAAATCTGAATACATGATCATTATTATCATATTATTATCAGTTACATGATGTTTATAAAGTTATTTCTATTCAGTATAGAATATTTAAGTTTTGCCGAGGCTTGAATCGATGGCTTTAATATCTTCACCATATCATATCTTAGGATCTTGATGTATTCTCTTCAACCAAGAAAATGGTATAACCTGCACGAATTAAATTTTTGAAAACTGGTCAAGGTACTTATAATCTTTTATTTTTGTCATTGTTACCTTTTCAGGTTTCTGTACTGTCAGACCCAAAGAGTAGATCCTATTTCTGCAGTCTCTTCATTACAGTTTCTTTGATATGTGGTGCTTACATCATTGGGAGTGCATTCCTGGCGAATGATTATAAAGTAATCTTACCCCCACTATTTGTTTGTTTTATAACTGTTTTACTTCATGGAAGAAATTTTAAGATACTTTTATTTGGTTCATGTGGTGTACCGATCATTTCTTGCTCAAACTGAAGGCATTCTTGGCCTGAAGTGTTTAGTTGGTGATGATTTGTTTTCAAATGAAATCCTTTTTCAATTCATTTAATTTAGAATGCATTGTCTTGAAAAGTTTTTCCCTTTAATCATCACTTTGGTCAACTAGTTCTATTGAGTGAGTGTGTTTAAAAAGCAGGTCTGAATTGGCTGTTACAGTTACTAAAGTGATTAGCATGGTCTTGGTTCATGCTATGGATTTAACTTAAAGGTGATTTTTTCAGCTCTTTCATCATTATATGGCTTTCTTGGGTTGTACTTCGAGTTTTGGGTTCTTGTATCGGGTCAAGAATCCTGGGATCTGGGGCGTGAAACTTCAGATTGAGGCAGGAGACACAATCTGCTAAATATAAGGTTCACCTTGTTAAGAAAATGTCTTTAATGTCGTGGCATATAAGTTCTTTTTGATTCTTATAATCCTCGGAAGTATTTAAAATCTGCTAAATATAAGGTTCACCTTGTTAAGAAAATGTCCTTGATGTCGTGGCATATAAGTTCTTTTTGATTCTTATAATCCTCGGAAGTATTTAAAATTTGAACGGTCAAGATTAACTTTTATAAGCTATAATAGTAGCGTGTGATGTAGCCATGCCAGTTGGACGTTCGTTGATTCATTTTCTCACTTTTTTCTTTGAGGGCTAAGTCACGGTCCTCATCTTTTGTTATTGTAGTTTTTTAAACATAAATGCCTAAACAATTGTTGCAAAGTTGCATAAGTGTTGTGATGACATCTAAGAGAAAGATATGAGGTTAGGGGTTGGTCAAGGAAAAAAAATTGGGGGATATTTATTATACTGATATTTCATAAAATACCTTCTTTGGAAAAATGATAGACATGTTTCATTGGTACAGTTATGTAATTTGTTGGAAGCCTCATGAATCATGCCTTATGAACACACATTTCTTGCCAAGAGAAATGGTTAATATAAGACGTGAGACTAGCAAATTGAGGTGTGTTGGGATTCTCTTCGCATTTCTCTTTCTTTCTTCCTCTTGGTTCTACCAAAACCTTTCCCTGAAAGAGAAGATTTCTCTCTCTTATTCCGTCCACCACGATTCCTTTCAAGACACACTAATCTCCCTATTATCTTCAGGAGTTTGCCCCAAGACTTTGAACTATGAAGTATATAGAAACTTGTTCACAGATGCTTGCATCACTGTTTGGTGTAACTTTTATTGGCTTTTAACTTTCAAACGAAGAGGTTGGATGAATATTAGGGTTTTGTTCAGAAGAATTGAGCTTTAGTGGCAGCATGGTTCTAAGTCACGGTATTGGTCACTTTCTCAGGTGCCCCCAAGATGACTCGGTGATAGTGTAGCAGATCAATATCTGGAAACTCATAATAATACACTCAATATAAGGCTCCAAAATCCTAAAGATTGATTTTTTAAAAAACTTATTTACAAAGACTGTATGTAAAATAAATAAAATAACCATCTAGACAGTGATGGAGCCATGAACTTACTCGAGTGGGGTCAAGAGGAAGAAACTAAGAGCGAGTTTGAGAGAGAGGAGGGAAAGAGCAGAGCATTATTAACAGAGAAGAGGTAGGAGAATTTGATGAGGACATAAAAGGTTTATGGGGGCAACTTCATAATTATTGTAAATAATTAGAAATTCAAGATTATAAGTTAAGCAATGCATAGAATTACCGTGTCCAGATTTGGTACCTCAAATCTCAGCCGCTGACTTATGCATCTTAATCCTCATGGACTGTGCTCATGATCCTCGATCTCAAAGCAGCGGTTGGAAACTCCTTCTGATCACAACACTCAACCACAGGAGTAATTCTCAATCAAGATCAAAGAACTGAAGCTTTGACGTATATGCTTGTTTTCATGTGCATCAGAGAAGAGAATAAACCTGTTCTTCATCACTGGTCAACAAGGCTCAAGTGCTCAACTATTTTTTCCATAAGGCTAAGTTTTCCATAAGGCTCAACTATTTTTCTTTGTTGTTCTCATTATCTATATACGGTGTGAGACTGACTAAGACTCAAATTGACACAGGAAACAAACCTGTTCTTCATCACTGGTCAATGCTGGATTGGTCCAGCTAAAACTCAATCATCTGACCTGGGTGCACCTGTCCACCTCGATCAGTCCAGGTACCCAGGTCAGATGATCCTGTTAGAAGCTAAATCATCTAGCTATCTTCTCTCTCAGCAAGCTTCATTAATCAAATTTCAATAATTTTAATTCAATCTTTATCTCACTGTACCAAATTAAGTTATCTGATCTAGTATTTGCCTCCTAAATCCTTAGGCCTTAACTTACTAACCTAAAAGTGTGTAATCATAGTAGCCTGAAGAATCTTCTCAAGGCAGACACGACTTCATCTTTAATCAAAATTTCAATGACAAGGAACTGGATGAAGTGATTTAACCCATCTTGACTGTTCGTCACAGAGTATTCCAACACAGTTTTATGTAATTAACAGTATTGCGAGATGTCCTACAAGAAGCCTTGTGAGATGTCATTGTCGAAGGTTAGATGCACGAGTCATCTTGTGATATAGGATGGAGATGTCATCCAATTAAAATTTTGTACTTTTTCATGTATCTGCTTCCAAATTCAGCTATATCTGGACGACTTGGCTGAGTTGTCACGGTCTTGGGCAGAACTTTTAATCATGTGTGAGGGAAACTTCATTTCTGTGGAAAAACAAATATGTTTGAAATTTTGTATTCAGGTGCAGCTCTGAATTTGTCTGAATGTATCCTATTTTAAGAAAATTGTCTGTACAGTTTCAGTGACACAGTAACATATAACTTATTTGGAAACTGCTTATGCAGATATCACTGAGAGTGGGCATGAATGCTGATACAAGGCATGGAGCAGAATCAAATAATTGCAAGGTTTGTCTCTTTCTGAAAATGTCCTTGCTAATGTGGCACAAAAGTTCTTTTGTATATTTTTTGATTTTTATCAGCTTATTTTTTTGTTTTTTTGTTTTTTTGCTTTTAGAATCAATGCAGGCCTTCTGGAAGCGAGGCATTGCCCGCAGGAATTGTTGTCAAAACTTCTAACTTGGAAATGCGCCCTTTATGGGGCCCCATTGCCGATAAAGTATGTGAAAGTGAAATCATAGCTGGTATTCTCAGTTAGGTGCTACAATGAAAGCTTACATGTTACCATAAGTTTGTAAAAATTGTAACAATGGTGCTTATAATTGTTTCAATTCCATGGTACATGACTTTACAAATTTTCAAACAGCCCATCCTTTTACTTTATTGAGCTTTTGCAAGGCATGACTAGTAAATTACTGACTTAATTATGGATGTTTTCTGTTGCATTTTGGATGGCCTTTGACCTTGGATCATGTGGTAAAATTGTCGGGATTGGGGTATAGGTATTAGGCTTGAATTCTCCGGTGAAGAAAAGGGTAAAGAAAAGAAACTGAAAATCATTTGGGATACTACTAAATATCCTAAAAGCATCTTTACACTGGTTATCCTAAGAAACTGAAAATCATTTCTTACATGTTTTGAGAGAATAAATGAATGATAATCAGATAAAACATTCAAATTTCAAACTAATTCTGTAGAATATCTTTACACTGGCAATGTGGCTAAAAGGTGCTTGGATACTTCTAATGTGTTGCAAACATTTTGTATTGCCCTGAGTGGCAGAAACAATGATTATGGCATATATTCAACTTTCCAAGGTAGAACTATTCATGCCATTGCTTCATAGTCTGCTTGTAATATTACATATACTCCTAAAGGTTATATAGCCCAAGAGGTAGATGAATTTTTATAAGCACCCGTGATTCAGATGCTTATATAGTTCAAGTTAAATAATATACACTTGTATTTTCCTTGTACTCACCTTGCAATGTTTTTGAATCAGAACAAATCAAAGCATTCAGCGAGTCTGTTGGCTATTGCAGCTGGAATAAAGCAAAAAGAAATAGTGAACCAAATTGTTAAAAAGGTGATAGTCACATCTTTTATGCCTTCCTGCTTAGACTTTTATCCATTCATATTTATTATTGTCTACCATTATGTTGCAGTTCCATGAGAATGATTTTGTTGTGATGCTTTTTCATTATGATGGTGTTGTCAATGAATGGAGTGACTTGGAGTGGAGTGGGCGTGTCATACATGTCTCTGCCATGAATCAAACAAAATGGTAATATCCGATCCATTACCGCTGTTCCTCCGCGACTGAAGTTACTCATGTACAATCTTTGTCTTAAATTTGTGTCATTTTTTATCACTTTTTGATGGCATAGGTGGTTCGCCAAGCGTTTCTTGCATCCAGATATAGTTGCTGAATATGATTATATTTTTCTCTGGGATGAGGATCTTGGAGTCAGGAATTTTCACCCAGGACGGTGAGTATGGTTTGATCAGTTATCTTTAAAAGATTGATTCTTGTACTGTATCAGTTTTTAAATTCCTTGAGTTTATAGCTGTTAGATCTCATTGATAAGGGTTATGTGATAAATAAATTATACTGGACTAGTGAACTGACTGGAGTTATAAAACAGCAAAGCTGATGTATTCAAGTCTCTCTTTTTTATTTATTTATTTATTTTTTTATTTGGGTTGGGTGGGGTGGGGGGAGATAAGGACATAAAAAGGGATTTTTTAGTCCTGGTTGTTAAACTTTCTTCCCGCTTCAAGTATTCTCATCCTTCATTTCCTTTCCCTCAGAAAATTCTTTTTTTCTTATAAAAAATGAAAAGAAAATCATCTGGTCATGTAAAGATTGTATCAAGATGTCCCCCCCCCCCCCCCCCCCCCCCCGAGGTCATTTATGTGTTCAAAATCCTCCGTTGCAGTAACTTTTCTGTTATGATATTTAACTTTTTGCCTGTCTTATCAATATATATTATTGTTGGGGGCAGCGGAAGCGCGTGAATAACTAAGATCCAGTGAAAGCCAGCAAAGCAATCACACACAAACACAAGATATACACGGTTCAGCCAAAACCGGCCAACGTCCATGGATGAGAAGAGATTCCTCTATGATTCGTAGAGATATTACAACAACAGAGTACCAACACCACCACTCCACGAGCCTATTTGGTAGATTCGTAGAGATATTGCAACAATAGAGTACCAACACCAGCACTCCACGAGCCTATTTCCTCTCTACTAGAGTCACCGGTGTATTTCTTACTCTACCAACCCGCATACTACCTCTACCTATCAACTTCCTCGTGAGAATACATCTCTCTCAATCTCATAAGTCTCAACCCAGCCTATGTATCTATTTATCGAGTTCCAAACCCAATTCCTTGTTTTTCTTTCCCTCCCTCAATCAGAGCCATAAACTCTTTTGATCTATAATGTCAAATCTAATATTTTCTTTTGCCATGCATGTGAACCACTAAACTTCGTTATTTCAGGTCCATTTCCTTTGAGAGAGAGAGAGGGGGAGAGGGGGGTAACAAGATAAAAATAGTGCACTACTCGTGCAAGGGAGAAGACTGACGACAATCCATTCAACAGGCTGCACAATACTAGTGTTGCAGCATCCTTCTTAATTAGTGCCATGGTCTAGAAGATTAATGAGCTCTTTAATGTTTTGTTTGGTTGGAAGGATGGATGAGACATCCATAGGGAAGGAAAGGTGACCTTCCTTTTTGTTTAGTTGAGTGGAAAGGAGTAGAAGGAGGTGATACCTAGGAAGGGAAGGAGATGTATTATGTTCTTTTACCATTGTACCCTTATTATATAATTTGGCAAAAAATGATGAAGCGTAATAATGTCACTTTACATAACATACAATACTTATCCTTTTCTTCCTTCCTCTTTTCCATCCAATTCTGAAGGGATGAAAAATGATGGCCTAGGTGGGATGCTTCATCCATCCATCCATCCATCCATCCATCCTTGCCTTCCCTCCAACTCTTGTACAAAAAGATGGAAAATTGCTCAATCCCTCTCTTTCTTCCCTCCTACCAATCACCGTGTAATTGATTAGGATCAGGGTATCTGTTGTTTTACAATTGTATGTAAATAACTTAATGTAGTGTCGGAAGAAATCATCTATACTCCATTTTGGATGCTTTTTACTAGTTTCTACCTTTATGAGGATAATAGATCTAGTAGATACATTTACTTATAAAAAAAAAAAAAATACATTAAGTAGATACATCAATCACACAGATTAACGTGATTCACCCAAGACTAGGGTAAGGTGTACAGTACTATTAGGCTCCACACTTCCTATCAAAGAAAGCCAAAGGTAAAAGGAGAAAGAAATTTATGAGAAATTGCCACTTGTTTTAGAGCCCAAATTTTTGTGTGTATGGATGATTAGGATTGGACATATTATTCAGCAGCGGGAGCGTATAGACAAGTTTATTGGCTTAGGCGTTTTGGGGTTTTCTGTTTTAGCTTTGAAAATTCTAAGGAAGTGTGGTTGAGGAAGAAGTATATAATTTGTCTATAGTAGTTTTTACAAGATCATGCTAAAAGGCATGGAAACATAAAAGTGAGGTAAAAGGTCCCATACAAAATTTTCTAATAAAAGTGGTAAGCTAAGTTGTAACTTATGCATGTATCATACATCATATTTTTACGATATAGTTCTAAGGGTGTTGATCAATCAATTGCCTTTCGTATTAACTCACAATAGTGGATGCTCTAGTCACGCAGACTCAGAAAGAGTACTCAAAGTAACTTAGCAGTGAGCATCTTCTTTAAGTAAAATAGTAAATGCCTAGAATCTTTAGAATGAGATGAAATTCCCTTGGCCGTCACTCGGCAGGTGATTAGGCTTTCCCTCAAAACTAAAGCCCGGAAGATAAAGTTCTACTGATGCTTTTCGTTCCTATTGGTGGCCTTATTAAAAATCACTGGAACTCTTTAAAGTGGGTTTGTTCTGTTCTATGAAGCACCGACACGGCAAAGGGGTGTGCCGTATCAATGTCAGACACGGGTGTCCAAACCTCGGACAAGTGTCCGATATGCAATAGCAGTGTCCTGCTTTAAAAAAATCAGATACACCGTCGACACGCAGCTAATACATTGAAGGACACGGCTGTTGTGTATATATGTGTATCTGTTCAACCCAAATGCATAAATTTGAGATAAAAATAAATATATAATATATAAAGAGTTAAGGAGATACGAGAGAAATGGCTGGAATATAGAGAAAAAGTTTTGATCAGATCCCTGACACCGTTAACGAAGGAGAAAGAGAGGAAGAGAGAGAAGGAGATGGAAAGTTACAGTACCGTAAAAGAAGGAGAATGAGGGATAAGATCAGAAACTTTCAATCTTATATGTCTTTCAACATGTTTGGTTAGAGGGATAAAAAATTGTGCCTTTTGGATATATATATATACACACACACACACAAGTATTTACTCCGATATTTTAATGGAATTTGGGCATATTAACCCTTCTGTTTTTCAAAAACAATATGTGCTATTTGGAGGAATTTTTTTTTTTTTTTTCCTAGTTGGGACTCACACACACTACCTCCACTGAGATTCAAACTCCTGACCTCCCTTTGGGAAGTAGGAGCCTTGTACCGCTAGGCCATAGGCCTGTTGGTCTATTTGGAGGAATTAATTTAAACGGGTTGTGTTTAGTAATATAAACTTAAAAATTGAGGAAAAAAATTATTTTTTATATATAATAAAAAATTATATTATTATTATATTGCCGTATCCTTCCATGTCCGTGTCCTATTTTTTTTAAGACTTGTCGTATTGCCGTGTCCGTATCGTACCCGTGTCTCGTGTCCGTGTCCGTGCTTCATAGGTTCTGTTGAATGATGGGATGGTCAACACATGAACGGAATTTTTCATAGGTTCTTTTGTCTCGTATCTGAAACTGCAATTGCTTCAGTGTCCCTGAGATTAAATTTCCTATTTCCCATCATATTTACAGCTGGTAAATAAAGGAGAACAAACCTCTCCGGATTTATATCTTACCCGTACCATATATGTCTTCTATATCTTGTTATTGCTCCATTTATTATTCTTTGTTTGTGTGCATTCTTGGAAAGAAATGATCTTCATGGAGAAGACATCTCTTTGAACCTTTTCTGCCTATTTGGCACCTTTAAATCACACCTGATCACTAATGCCTCCATTTTTTAGTTTGCCTTTGTTGTTCTGCAATTTGCATAAAACATATAACTCGTGTCTAGTTACCTATATTGTTTTAATATCATTCTAAAATTCACAGTACTTCACCAGTGCTTCTCTCTGTAATGGTCCCAAACAAGCCTTGGTCATGTTATCTTCTGTAACTACTGTATTTGCAGAATTTTTTTCTCAGAACCAGGTAGCAAGACTATGGCCTATTAACTTTATGATATCTTGCCTTTGTCTTCTTTCAAATTCTGGAAAATGCCATATAATGTTCTTGAATTTATTGTAATATTTTCTAGAAAAGCAGTTCAAATATTATGAATACAATTTCTTTTGGAGATGAAACAATGCAGACATATCTTGAATATAATAAATTTCCTGCAGGTATATATCTATTGTTAAAGAAGAAGGACTTGAAATATCACAGCCTGCGCTTGATCCAGTAAAATCAGAGGTGCATCATCAAATTACTGCACGGATGAGGAGATCAAGAGTGCACAGGTTAATGTAGTAATTTTAAATGGAAGAGAGTTATTGAATAAGTATTGCTGATTTGCTGTAACATGAAATATAACTAGAATTAGCTGTGTATGGACTGAAATGTTGTTCACTGAGTGCACCAATTATTTTGTGTGTCAAACCTTGGAGATCTCATAGTTCAAAGAACTTGATCAAACGATTATGACTGGACCATATAATCTATCATATAGCTAAAGCTGGGTACATAAATAGCTTCAAAGGTTAATGAGCTATGACCACCCATTTGAAATCAACTGTTGAAATGGATCTCCTTGGTGCGGAAGCATGTTGATCAAAACAGGACCCACTCTATCGTAAGGACTAAGGAGTTGTAACTCCCATTTTAGGGCGCAAGACATTGAGCTCCCCTTTGTTGGCGCCTCTGCAGGCCAATGCTTTAACTATCACCTTGCCGCCATGTATTTAGAACTTAGGCTCATTATTATAGACCCATTTTTTTTTTGTTTGATACACAAAATAAAAAAGTGTTTAATACTGCATGTTTGCATGCCCAAAACTTTAGGTTGGGTAGTTATTGAATAATGTAGTTGTTGGATTTAAGCATCAGCCTAAGATTTGAGGCCCAGGCCCTGCCATACATGAGACCCCCGGCACTTTAACCAGTCATGGGTCGGTCTTAGAATATTGTACATGTCCCAGGCCTGATCCATGACTCGATTTTGGTCAGATGAAAAGACTTATTTCCTCAACTGAATAAACGTTAAAATTGGCAGGCTCTGAATCCGACTTCTTGGGAAAGAGGTTGAGGCTTAACAATTGAGCTAGAAGCTTACTTCACTTAAATTAATAAAAAATACTTATATAAAAGGTAAAAGATTGGCCAGTGGTTTATTGGGCTATTGACAGGACTACTCAAGCTGGACTGAGCTTTGGAACCTATGCCCAGGTCTCACCCGTCAGCTTATTAGGCAGGGCTGAAGCCCGTTGGGCCGGGCCATATTTCCTGGGGATATTTTTTGTGGCTACTTGGATGATAGATTCTTTTCTTTAAATTAATTATATTATTAACTTAACAGTTATGCACTTGAATCAATGTTAATATTTCTTATCTGTCTTCAACAGAAGGATCTACAAGTCAAGAGGCAGCGCAAGGTGTGATGCTAACAGCTCAGCACCTCCTTGCATAGGGTAAAGAATTACAAAACCTGCAACTGCTGTTGTGGTTTAGTCATCAGTTTCTTGCTTAGTTTGTTTGGTCCTTCTATTTTTGAAAAATAAAAGAAGCTTCTTTCTGGTGCTGAATAGAAGCCATCTATTGTTGTCAGAGAAATATTCTTATGCTGTGAATAAAATGTGTCACACAGTTGGGTAGAGATGATGGCACCTGTGTTCTCGAGAGCAGCCTGGCGATGTGTGTGGTATATGATCCAGGTAGAGGACCTTTTGCTACACTGAGTACTTAACTATTTTATAATGGATGTCCCAACTGAAATAATATAAAATTAAATTAAATTGGTGTGAATTGGTACTCAACAACTTCTCCAGGAGTTTTGGATTTAGGGTTTATAAAATATTGGAGAAGAAAATAGGATTTCCGTCGAATTGGATTTTTTTTCATTTACTTCATCATATTATATTTCCTTAGGGTACCTTTGTGTATGTGTATTTTGGTGGTGGGGTGAATTTTATGGCCTGACTGAATCACTGAATATATAAGCTCTGGATATCTTCTCTCTCTTTGGTAACAGTTTCCCAATGATCTTTTGATTTAACAGAATGATTTGATCCATGCATGGGGCCTTGATAAGCAGCTTGGTTACTGTGCACAGGCAATTTCCTAATCCAATAACCTTTTGGTATGACTCCGTCGTAGGAGTACTAATGATATTTGGACCATTTCTTGACAGGGTGATCGGACAAAAAAGGTTGGCGTGGTTGACTCTGAATATATAGTTCATTTGGGTCTTCCCACTCTTGGTGCTTCAGATGGAAACAAGGCAAGTAATTCTTATGTTTATGTCAGCATTTCATTCCTAGGCTGGGCTGGACTAATGGCTTTAGCGTATGTATGAAGAGTTTGTTCAAACTAGGCTGGACTGAAATAATGGGTTCAATGTACATTTGACAACAGTATAGTACAACTATGTACCCCATCCCTGAAAAAGTAATTTATGCACTGGTTTTCATGCAAAATTCATGACTCTCAAAGGCTTGCACATGACTAAAATAATGAGCTCTGATGGGGAAAAAAATTTCATGTGGCCAACCCCGTTCTGTTCATATGGATTGAGCCAAGGATCATCATGATGATGATAGGTAAAATTTGAAACAAAACAGTCCTTAGAATCCTATGTTACATCAATATGAAAAGGGGGCGTGGACTTGACACTTGGCGTACCTGCTGACAACCAGGGAGTCCATGTACTCCACTCTTTCATGGACTTTTCTTTTTCTCCCCCATAATTGCAACATCATAATAATCTACTCTTTTCTATATATCTGACGATACTTCAGTAAAGACGGTGATTGTATTCTATTATGCTCCTATTTTGTGTTTAGAAACCTGAAAAAAGAAATGCTTTAAAAAAACATGCCGCCTGTCTGCCTTTTTTCTTTTTGGTGTCAACTACCTATCCAGAAATAAATAATTTAAATATATATTGTGTGCATTAAGGGGATGCATTTGACTTGTGGTACGGCATGTCTGGGCTGTGTTTTTCACTTGTTCTACATGGACATTAATAATTTATATGTGTCTGTGCTGCGTAGGATGAAATAACATAACCCCACATAATTACAGAATACAATAAGGCTTCGATTTATTTATATATTTATTTTGACCATGTTGTTTCATGGAAACATTTACTTGATCATGAAACTTCTTGTTGCTAGTCACCATTGGATGAAGTGGATTAACTCCTTGCATAGGTATAATGGCCAAGAGAGCAGTGAAATTCTGTCGTCTTAGCATCTAAAAGGATTAGACCCTGCTGACTGAATGGTTTACTAATTTGGACACATTTTTATTTTTTAATGCCAATTGTAGAGATTATTGGATAATTAAGAGCTGAAACCATTAATCAAACTATTTTAGATACAGTTGTCTACTGAAGATGGCCATGCCCTGATTTTTTAAAGATAAAACCAGGATTTTTTTAAATAAAAACCGAGAGTTGTTTTCACATAATCATGATGTGTTAATATGAGTATTAATCTTGGATTTGCCTCACCTGTACTGTGCTTTTTCATGTAGTTGACTGATGAAGCACCTGATCATTTTTCTCAAACAAAACACTTGCCAGATTCAGATGCATCGGTATGTCTTCTGAATCTAAGTTTGCCTTTATTACCCCCCACCCCTCCTCTGTGTTTTAAAACCAAAGCTAATATGTTTTCATATTTGGATTTTCAGGAAACTTCTATTGTGCATAAAGTTGATAATAGACCTGCAGTGAGTACTTTTAAATATCCTCGTACTGAGGTGTTCAATCTGTTTGGAGCAATTTGTAGATTACATTCGATTTTACACCCTCGCTCGCACATGAATTTTGATGCACATATATTCACTCTGCTTTATTCTGCAAAGATAGTTTCATCTCAAGTGTTTTTTCAGAACTGAAAGTTGGTACACGGGGAGTGACTTTGTCCTTAACACTTGAATGTTTGTTCTCTTCTTCCCCAGTTCCAGTGTTCCATCTAGAAGCTACATGATACTAGAACAAATCTGCTCTGGTGTTCTTTTGAGCTTCATTTTGTTCTTTCCCATTTGGTTTTCTTGGTTTGAACATTTTTCTCTTAACTTTCAGTCTCCTTACTTGTTCTCCGCATGAGACATCCATTTGGATAAGCATAAGTTATGACGTTATTGATCACACACGAGGTTGAGATAGTATGACTACTTTGGGCTCTTTATCTCAAAGGAATTATGCTGCGTCTGTAGACTGATTTTTTTATTGAGTTCATCCTTATAAACGAGATATATTGTATGTATTGAGATCATTTACAGCATATAAAATCAGTGGGCATTCAACAAGAAGGTTTCAGGGATATCCAGCACTGAACCCTCTTACAGTTTGGTATCCTAATCTCAGTAACGTGTGGGACACCAAGCATGCTTTGGTCCATACAAACCCTACTACTCAAACTGATGATTTTTCCTCATCAACCAACTCAACTAAATAGAACCTTGTCCCAACTATTTTGAGTCTGATACACGATTCCTGATATTTCATTCTGCCCTTTTTAGAGCCATAATTTTAGTCAAGGATCACATGTTACCATGCTTTTTCCCCAGCAGTTTCTTCATTTTTCCCCATCAACTGTCATTTTTTAAATGATTGTCATGTTGTTATTCTGACTAACTACTACATCTCTGATTCTCTATTTGCTTATTTTTTTCCTGCAACAATATAGTGACTAATGATTTATGGACAGGTGAGGAGACAGTCCTTCATCGAAATGCAAATTTTTATGAAAAGATGGAATAATGCGACGGAGGAGGATAAATGTTGGGTTGATCCATATCAACAACCTGCAAAGCAAAAAAGCCATTGATGTAGTATATAAATTACACTTTACAGGGCCTTGTCAAACTAAGCAGAGTCCCAGGATGTGATCTTACTACATCCTGTGCCATACTCAACCATACAAACCTCAAAGAACTGAACATACTTGCAATTTTCCAGGGGAAGTGATAAATCTCAAAGTCTTGGAAGAGTTTCGGATGCCAGATGGTGCTGTGTAGATAAATGCTGAGCAGATGTTTTTCCCTGGCTGGGATGATTTACTCATCTTCCTTTCTTGTAATCACATCATTTATTCATTGAAAATAATAGAAATGATGGTATGCCTGGCAAAATAATTTCAGGCAACCCACTATTTTTTTTTTTTTTTTAATTTTTGGAGGGGTTGATTTTTGATCCTTAAATTTTCATTGTAAATACTCTTTGGTTTAAAATTATTATTTTGGTGATGATGCTCACATTTCAACTTTATCTTAATCAACAGGACAGCCCATATGATCCTTAATGAGTTTGAATTTGTAGAATTGGCTGTAAGAACAAAGGAAGTCTGACCATCTAATTACTGTATTCAATTAAGAAATAGGAACTAAAATCATTGTAAACTTTTAATGAAAATTGTGCGCTTGAGGTGTTGTCATGGATTCTTCCTCCACGTTGGATCTTGTATGTATAAGGTTGGGTGCTAGCGCCATTTATTAGCTTAAGTTTTTGTGTCGGATCGTAAAACACACGATTCGTTACAATGGTATCAAATCAGAATTCATTCCTTAATGCGGTTAAGGAAATTGCTCTAGTGCTAAATGTCATTTATTTTTCCAGCTTCAAAATCACCACTTTTATTTGATGGATTGGATAATGATTTGAGTCTAAAGTCTAATTGATTAGGTAAGTGAGGACTGACATCATTATGATGTCATTAATATATATGATGTGATGATGACATTAATCCTTACTTACTTATATGTGAGTTTTGTGACTTGAACCAAATCAGTCAACACCCAAGTCCCAAATATTATAGTATCTCCTTTCCAAGTCCAACTTTAAAATTAAACAGGTTTTTTTATAATTGAGTTTTCAAAAAATAGTTTTCAAAAAACTAATCCAAACAGAATTTTTTTTGTGTAGTTTTTTATTTTCAGTTTTCTAATAACAAAAAGCTATTACAAACCAAGAAGGACTAAAGCATTCTCAATTGTAAAAGCCCAAGGCCAAGCCCAACTTGGCATGAGTAACTTAAAAAATAAACGATTTTAGTGATTAAACAGAGATTAACACTAAACTAACCATCCATCGACCATAGACCATCTTTCTCTCCTTAAACCCTCACATTTCACTCGCACATCTCCTTGTGGTTTAAGCACTCTCTGTCTCCATTTTATACATATATGTATCTTCATTTCTTCTCTCTCTATACAAACTAGGGCTTCTACCTCCCTCTCTATATCTAACAATTTATGGCGTTTTATCGCATCATCCTCCGATCTCTCCGACGATCCTCGTCTCTCTCCACCACCACTACATCCACCACCCAAACCCTAGCTCTCCACCACCACATAGACCATCATTTCCAACCACAAAACCCTAATTTCACACTTCCGTTCCGCTCCTTCGCCTTCTCCTCAGCTGAGGAAGCTGCGGCGGAGCGCCGCCGCCGCAAGCGTCGCCTCCGAATAGAGCCACCCCTCCACGCCCTCCGCCGCGACCCCTCCGCCCCCCGCCCCAGGCCGGACCCCAACGCGCCGCGCCTCCCGGACTCCACATCCGCCCTCGTCGGCCCCCGCCTCAACCTCCACAACCGCGTCCAGTCCCTCATCCGCGCCGGTGACCTCGACTCTGCCTCCGTCCTCGCTCGCCAGGCCGTCTTCTCCAACACACGCCCCACCGTCTTCACCTGTAACGCAATCATGGCTGCCATGTACCGCGCTAAGCGCTTCGATGACGCAATCGCGCTCTTCCAGTTCTTCTTCAACCAGTCCAACATCGTCCCCAACATTGTCTCCTACAACTTCTTCATCAACACTCACTGTGATGCTGGCCGAGTTGATGTCGGTCTCGAAGTGTATAGAGACATTCTGGCTAATTCCCCGTTTAGCCCTTCGGCCGTCACGTATCGCCTTCTCACGAAAGGGTTAATCGATGCAGGTCGGATTGGGGAAGCTGTTAACCTCCTTCGGGAGATGCTGAACAAGGGTCACGGTGCAGATTCACTCGTTTTCAATAATTTGATTTCTGGGTTTCTCAAATTGGAGAATTTGGATAAGGCAAATGAGCTTTTCGACGAGCTCAAAGAGCGTTGCCTTGTGTATGATGGTGTCGTCAGTGCTACGTTTATGGATTGGTTCTTTAATAAAGGAAGGGAAAGAGAAGCCATGGATTCGTACAGGTCATTGCTTGATCGGCAATTTCAGATGATTCCGGCGACCTGTAATGTTCTATTGGAGGTGTTGCTTAAACACAGGAAGAAAGCCGAGGCTTGGGCATTGTTTGATAACATGTTGGATAATCACACCCCTCCTACTTTCCAAGCCGTAAATTCAGAGACTTTTAACATAATGGTGAATGAATGTTTCAAGTTGGGGAAGTTTTCGGAGGCAATGGCTGTGTTTAAGAGGGTGGGTAAGAAGGTGAAGTCGAAGCCTTTTTCAATGGATGTTGCTGGATACAATAACATGATCACAAGGTTGTGTGAGAATGGGATGATGCCGGAAGCAGAGAAGGTGTTTGGGGAATTGTCGAGTAAGTCTTTGAATCCGGATGTCACGACTTACAGGACGTTAATTGATACTTATTTTCGGGAAGAGAGGGTTGATGATGCTCTGCAAATGTATACCAAGATGGTGGAGGCCGGGTTGAGAGTGATTCCGGTTTATGCCAATAGATGGTTCACTGAATTGGTTGAGAAAGGTAAGGTTGTGGAGTGCGTGTGGATTTTGACAAAAATGGGAGATAGAGATCCAAAACCAGACGTCCTGAGCTATGATGTTGTGATTAGGGAGCTTTGCAAAGAAGGTTATTTGGACGCCAGTCTGGCTTTACTGAGCCAAATGGTCAGGTATAATGTTGGCATCACTTCTCCACTGAGAGAATTAGTATCTCAGGCTTTTGGGAAAGAAGGACGAGGCGAACAGATTGAGAACCTTTTTATCACTAGAGGACCAGGTTATGGTGCACGTTATCAACCAACAGGACCTCCTCCAATGGCAGGACAACCAACAGGACCTCCTCAAATGGCAGGACAACCTACAGAACCCCCTCAAATGGCAGGACAGATAAGAGCTTGATTCTTAGATGTGAAGTCAAGGTTTGAAGCACTTGTTTTCTCATCTTCAATTTTTGATTTGGTAAGAATTACAGTAGTTATATTCACTTTGCATGGTTAATCATGTGGTATGTTTTTTATAGAAGTCAATTATAGGCTTAGGGGGCTCTTCATGCCTATTGAGTCTATCATATATCTTATGTATCTTTCTGATTTGAATAGTAATTGAAGTGCAGTTTGGACCTCTCCATTATTATTGAAGATGTTTTAGTTGATAAATAATTACGATAAGCATGTGTTGGTTTTCTTGTGATACGTGTGCAAAATGTTTGAAGCAACACATGCAAGACACATTTCTCGCTTAAGAATAGCATATTGCAGCCATAAGTTATCATCCAGGTATACTAAGGCTCTACTGTGATGCTAATTAGTGTACTATGGTGTAGATCTTCAACATCAAATCTGTAGTTGTTTATTATGCAGTGTTGAATGGATGAAAATATTTGAAGTGATTTTAATATGTGTGTATCATGGTGTCTGTTCCTTCCTTATTGATAAGGTGAGTGGTATTCTGATAGATGAACTTGGAGTCTTTACTTCTCTTTTTATTGGTTGCCTTTTTGTGACCATGTCTATGACCAAAAAAAAAAAAAATCCAACTTGTGGAACTTCAAGATTTAAAAAAAAGTTAGGTCAAAGAAAATTTCACATTTCCACTAACCATGCCGGCTGCGTTACCATTACTTAAAGCCTTGGGTTTGTCATGTTGGCTAGTTTATATGGACAAGTCACTACAGAGGTTTAAGATTGTAGGAACCATTCTAAGCTCACAAGTAGTGGCTAACTATAATGGAATCATTATGTTCTTTTTTACATTTTTGTAGGAACCATTCTAAAGGTGAAAGTAATGGCTAACTTATCAAAAAACCATTATTTTCTTGCTCTATTTTTCAAGTAATGACAATTACGAACCATGCTTCTGAGTATTATGGTCTACTATTTGATTCTTTGTGTAATGGCTAAATATACAAAGGAATCATGGTTAAAAGAGTTATGTTTTTCTTGTAAACCATTCATTGGATTTCTAAGTTGATTCTTCTTCTATCCTTTCTTCTTTATACTGTGGTTAGATCTAATCTCCCTCCTATTCTTTCTGCAGTCTATTATACATTACATTACGATTTTCAACACATCCAGTCCTTCATTGTGGGTCTTAAAGGTGTTCCTCCTTATTTGATTTGAACGTATTATTTTTCTTAATTAATGTACTTGTCAACATTCATTTCTGGCCAAATCTAAGAGACTGGAAATGATAATGAGGCATTGTGGAGCTTTCCTCTGACAACTGGTCCTTTTATTTGAGTTTGAGAGTTCTATTTTTATACTCTTAGGGCAAAACCCCCAGTAAGTAGCAGTATTATTTATAGCTTACGAATATTGAGTTTGGAGTTGAAATGATTAAAAATAAGCTCACTATGAATAACCAACTGCAAAACCAGTGTTATTATTATTATTATTATTTTCTTCATCTATTCTATGCGTATTGCATCAAGTTCTTTTTTAGCATTGGCCATCATTTTTTCTTCTAGAAGTTCAAGTACACCCCATGAACCATCTACTATAATCTTAATGCTCCATGTCTGATGTCTCTGAGCTATCCTAGAACTTTAGACCTAGAACTTTAGACCATACAAATAGGATGAGATTTGCTTGCACCTTGTACTCAAATTTTACTGATGCGGCTGATGCCCTAATATATAGCTTCTTTTCATTTCTCTCTCTCTCTCTCTCTCTCCTAGCCTCGAACCCTTGACCTGGCCATAAGCCAGCAGGTTACAAGGAGAGCTGGTAGCTTCTCTTCATTTGCTATTGCAAAAATGTTGCATTTGTTTGCTACTGCAATTTCAGTCTTTTTTATTCACTTGTAGGCTTTGTATCAGAGGCTTAAATTCTAATCCTATTTATGGTCGTGTGCCTAACCTTGTACTGTTATTGCTATATTTTCATTTATATCCCTACTCATCTTGAATAACCTATAAATGGTGCTCTAATCCTTGCTAATTGTGTGGAAGATTTGTTATGCATATCTAATATCAAGATTTCCAAAGCAGTCATATATGCTTGTGAATCTAGAAAAAATGTTCACAAACGTGATTCTGTTCTCTTGAGAGTAGTGATCGAAGAGGCCCTCGCCTGAGTTCATCCAAGTGGGAGCAGGGTTCAGCTCCCCACTTTCTGTTTTCTTTCTTGGGAGTACCATTTTCCGTGCTTTAATCGTCATGATAAGACTAAAGAAATCAGAGTTGGCAGTTCTCATGTTGGGTTTATACTTTATTCTGTCAGTTCATTTTCTTCTTTATGACAAATAATAAAATCATGCTACAATTTCTTTTGTTTTTCCCTCTCTTCTCTCTCAAAATCTTTTAACATATCTGCCATGAGACCTGAGGTATGTATTGGTTAGTTGTATACACTTGGTACTTTGTGGGTGACACTAATCCTGTATATGGAGTTACTTTAGTAGCATAAAGAAAGATATTCTCTTTTCATACCTTCAATTCTAATATTTGAAGAAATCTGAACCTATATTTAAATGATTAAATTGGTAAATACTGCAATGAAATTAATCATGAGACCATATCAAATTTTCTAATGCATCAATAAGAGGGAATAGTGAGATATATAATTATATATATATATTTATCTATTTATATATATACCATCCCTTGTGTGTGAAGCTTTGTTATTCCGATAACTTGGCACAATACTTGTATGATACATTAGTTCCTATTATAAACAGTAATTAGTGATTTTTCTTTAAACACCATATCACCCTATGGATTCTCTTCCCCCCACCCATCCGCACTTACACACGAAGCCACACGAAGAAGGATGAGTTATAGCCTCTTATTCATTCAATTGTCTCAATGCCTTGTACATCCACAAGCCCTTCAACATTGCCCATGATTCTCAGCTTAATGCCAACAGAATGGTGGGTTATGCCATTCCTGGCAGTTCAAAACAACAGTCTGTCCTTAACCGGGGGTGACAGCCATTTTCAAGGGATTAAAGACGGTCCCCAAATGCCAGCAACCATGCCATGTGAGGGTTCTACACAGAGCGAAGTTAGGAAATGAGAGGGATAGAGGCTCTGATCATTTTCTGTTGAAGACACGGTTCCTGGGTCGATCTTAAGTGCAAGTTATTTGGTTTGGTTGACTGTTGGTTTTCATCTTCATTTTTACAACTGTGAAAGAGCTAACGACGCTCAAACCCGTGATATTGAGGCTTTGTTTTGTGGTCGGACTTCAATGTCAGACAGCACAGCGGGCAGGGTTGAAACTAGGGTGAGGTCTCTCTCATTTAGTCCCAAAACAGCTAAAGGAAACATTTTTGTGGCTGATATTGGTATAGTTAATGGCTTGCAAGAAGTTTCTAATATAGACAAGAAAGAAGAATCGAAAATGAAGAAAAGGGAATCCCATGCAGGTTCTCCCGTAGCCCAGCTCTAGAGACTAGAGAACAGTAGAACATCCAAGGCAAGACGACAAGAGTCTCCTGCACAACACACTGTTGAACAACGTCGAGGCAGATTGGCAGCAGTTGAAGAAGCTGTATTATCGAGCTAAATTCCTGTCCTTAAGAAAATTTAGTTCAAAATTTTAACTAAATCACGTGAAGTAAACTATACCTGAAAGGCAAGGCCGAGAAAATGAATGACCATTATCTGGACTTGGTGTGTAACTCATTGCTCTAGTCTTCCAACAAGATCAATTCTTGGTCCATTCTCATTTCATAGCATTATAAATGGTCGACATGTTCTGTGCAAGACTTGTAATTTGTCACCAAAGCGCGTCCATGAGCCTTGCGGATAGACGATCACTGTTTTTGGATTGAATCCAGACATGGCATGCATCTGGACTAACAATCTTAACTTCAACCTAAAGTGGAGGCCCAGATTAATTAGACCATGACTGATGGTGCTTTGGTCGTCCATTGTCCATCCTCAACTTGCAGCAGGTAAAACCATTTCCCAATCTCTGTAATCCGGTGAAGGAAAAATGCAGCCTGGTTTTGAATTCACCACATTCGTTAACCGACAGGAATTTAGCTCGATAATACAGCTTCTTCAACTGCTGCCACTCTGTCTCGACATGTGCCCGTGTTCGAGTTTCCCTTCCTCCTCACAGTTTGCCAGGAAAAATGAAAAAAAAAAAAAAACAGAGGCCAAGTTGGGCCTGTGAATTGGGAGCCCAGGCCTATTACTTCCGGGCTTTGTTTTCTTAACGGACCAGGCCTGAAACAGACTTGATAATCCCAAACCCAGACCACGGACCTTTGCCTCTTGACGGGCCGAGCGGCCCGAGCTACGGGCTTCGAATGATTTTTTAAATTTATCTTTTATTCAGCGTCATGTGGTAGTCTTGATTTGACTTGAAAGTTTTTCTTTAAAAAACAAGACAATGCAATTCAAAATGTAATATTGATTTGACTTGGGTAGTCTTGGGAGGAGAAATACAACATTCATCATTTCCGCATTGGAAAATAATTTTTACATCGAATAGTTGCAGTAAATTGACATTTCTAATGTTTTTAATTGATGATATATGCAACAAATAAGAAAGTGGAGTCCTCCACTTGTTTGTATTTTGCATAAACAATCAATCAAAAGTATTCAGTTGTATTCAGTTAAGCAATTCACTGTAACTTTTCAGCATGAGTATCACTACTCTTTCGCGCTTATTTTGTATAAATGTGTCGGGCACATGAATTCTATTTTTTTATATATATATAATTTTTTTCTATAACACGTCATTTCTCGTACTAGTACTAAATTTAATTTTGTAAAATATTTTTTTATTACTTCATTTCATGTTAATTTTGATTGATATCTTTGTCATTATTTGAATTTATCTCTTATTTTGAATGCTTCATTTCATGTGAATTTTGATCAATATTTGCACTCAGATGGTTACTTTGAATTCACAAAATAAGAGATAAATTCAAATATTGCATTACATATACTTTATAATGAAAGGAAACTAAATGAAATAGGAATTCTAATAACATAAGGAAACCTAATTAAGAAAAGATGACAATACTGTAAATAAGTTTAAAAATTTTGGAAAAATAAAGAAAGAAATCTAATCAATTAAAACTACGTATAAAATATTTGTGCAATCCCAGTTCAGTTTGTTTAGACAACGAATAAAAATTTTGAGTCTTGCTCGTTGGGCTATTTTCAGTA